GATGGCACCTCCGGAGGAGGTTTGTCGATTATTGCGTCTGACATAGTAATTTTGATTCATCGGTCCAAAGATCTAGGAACTGAAATCTCGGTCTTGTTAAGTTTTTTTGATAACCAGAACATTTATGTACAACAGAAACTAGCTACCATCACATGTACCTTAGCTTGACTTAAATGTATTAAACGTATAGTTAAGTGATATCAAAATATAAATAACTAATGTCATGCAAACATTAATATTTGCTTGATTCCAGTGTTGAATTTAGCACAATTGCATACAAACGTTAAGGGATTTTAAGATTCTGAAGTATTATGCAAAAAAGTCAATCATTTAGATTATTATTTATAGTTTTGCTGAATAGTTTCATGTCCGCTTACCTTAGAAACGTAAAATGTGACGGCAGTGTGCAGATGGGGAGAATGTTAGCTTAGCTTGGTAGCTTCAGCTAGCTCTGGAACTTCCAGCTCGGTGGCAGGAGGTCCCGCCTCGGCTCCGCCTCTTTGCCCTTATTTGGAGCAGGCCGGAGCAGGCGGGAGTTGAACTCTGATGTCACTGTCGAGCCGTTAGTGGCCGACTCTGCCTACTAAGGGCTTCTCGGCAACTCTGCAGGATCCTATGGGTGACGTCACGGACCCTTCGTCCATTTATATATACAGTCTATGGTTCAAACTCCGGCCAATAGATGACACTGTATACAATCGTGACAACTGAAATCTGCTGTACCACCGAAGAAGAAAAAAGTCATGGCAACCGGGAGGATCATGGATGTATAATAAGAACGGGGAGGATGCGTCACGTAACTTTCCAGGATGTTGTGGGATGAATCGACACAGCATGGGCTTCAGTGGCGACCGACACGATCCTGTTGGGATTCAGAAAGATCGTCTAATCGGAACTGATTCTGATGGAGAATGTGTGTGAAGCAGAAATCCTGCAGATCCACCCGCTGTGACGGACCGGTGAGGGGAGCGATACACACAAGAGTTAGATCTAACACACTTAGCTATTTTATCTACCTCTGGAACTAGCTAAACTAGTTATAAATATATTTATTCTTCACTGTCGGGTCACTCATTAGTTACTGGATCAGTGAGCTGCATGAGATACTGACAGGCTATCAGGAGAGAGAGAGAGAGAGAGAGGGGGAGAGAGGAAAAGAGAGCGTTGGGATATACATTTTTTAAATCCACTGGAGCAGAGAGAGGAGCTGTGTATTTTTGTTATTGATTAATGCATCAGTGTTTCTTAGGGTCAAAAGAGTAGATTGGAAAAAGAACTGGCACAGTCCAGAGTAAAGTTATACCATTATTTAAATAAATGGTAATATTGTTGTTTTGTTGATCTCCCATTATGTAATACCTTCAGTTCACTTGCAAATGTTGTGACTTAATTGGCAGATTAGCCATTAGCGATTACAATTATAAATATCAATGTAATAAGATCTACAATACTTAAATGTTGCTAACTAACATTTAATAGGACTGAGGAAACTTCACTGCACTGACTCATGTTGAAACCAGGAACAGCCTCAACCTTTTCACACCATTCAAAAATATTCAGACAAATCGAAAAAAAACAGTGAGGTATTTTATCATCCTTATTATGAGGAGGACCTTGACATTCTGTCGGAATTTCCCCACCAACACGGCTAAGCGTCTTGCTAAATCGGCCCGTGGTACAGGAAGTGCTGACATCTTTTAAACAAGTAAAACCTACTAGATATTCCCAACATGCTGTATGTCAAGTATCATCTACACTTTATGTCACT